CCGTGGCAGCTGGAGATGGGTGGCTCAACTCCCAGATCCCCAGCCAGCACGCTGGCTGGGGAATTCCTGGGAGTTGAAGTTCCATCCTCCAGCCTGCCCAAGACTTGACGAAACACCTGACCCCAGACGCTCCACCCACTGCCCCCGCCTCTCTCCGCCGCCCGCCCGCCCCCGAAGCCCCGCCCCCGCGCCCTCACAGGTGGTCGCAGAGAACGAGCGGCGCGTAGGGGCCTTGGTATTCCCAGACGCTGGCGGAGGCGGCGTGAGGCGGGCGCGGCTGCCCCTCTTCCTTCTGCCAGGCGCTGGCGGGGCTCTCGGTGGCGTTGTGCTGGTGGCTCCGGGAGACCCCCTGCAGCAGGAGCAGGTTGCCCAGCAGCAGCGCCGCCTGACCACACAGGAGCGCGTAGCACACCGGCCCTCCGCCCGCCATGGCGGAGACGGCGCCCTTCCGAGTTCCGGCGAGACCGGTTCGGAAGGGCCGCACTCGGACGACTCTCCACCAATCGCGGAGCGGTTCCTCAGCAAGGGCGGGCCGAGGTCGCTCTTCTGGCCAATCGAAGGCGAGGCCTGTGCAGGGGGAGGCGGGCGCAGCGTCGTCGCCGTGCATCATAGAGAGAAAGATAGTAGGACGCTGAACTTTAGTGTGAAAGCTGTGAACCTACTGGGACCGGAAGTACCCTCAGGACGGCGTGTAGTCTCTATGGTAAAGCTGCCCGAGCTGGGCTATGTTGCCATCTAGGGGTCGTCAGAGCTTTGCAATTGAGATACTCCAAGCGTAAAGAGGCTTTCAGTCGGCGGTCCTCCCGCTTCCTCGAGCGCAGCCCCGATTGGCCACAAGGCTGCTGCCGGGGTCCAATAAGGGTACGCGGCGATCCTCGGCATGGCCGACAGGTGGCAGCCGCCGCCGCCGCCACTGGCTGGAGGAGAAACAAAGTTTTTGATTTACTCCAATTGCTTTCCTGAATTTGCACAACTGGAAGCACCAGCCAGTGTGATGTGCAGTGTTGTGTTGTGCAAATAAAGCCTCACGTTTAGTTTACGGGCCGGCGTGTTCAGTCCAGAAAATCACGTTAATGCGGAAAGCTGAAAGCCAGTGTTTTGCAAAACTTGGGGACTTTAAGATGGGTGGACTTCAACTCCCAGGCTGGCTGGCTGGCTGGCTGGCTGGGGAATTCTGGGAGTTGAAGTCCGCCCATCTTAAAGTTGAGGAACCCTGGTCTGGAAGACCCGAATGTAGTTTGGTGTCTTCTGGATGTTAGTTTTGGGAGCTCTCTCACACTCCTTTTTCTTGGTCGATGGAAATTTGGCATTGTGCTGAAGTTGTATGATGGCTACCAGCAGGACTGGCTGGCTGTTCTGAAGGAGGATTTGACCGTGGTTACAGATCTTTTTCCAAGTGATAAAGTTTTCAGAGAATATATCATAATATATATCATCATCTCAGTTGTATTGCATTATAATGTGAACTAGATTTCAGCTGTTTGGGGAGAACCCCCTAATCATTCTGTTACCTTTGTCACTAAGGTGCAGTAACCATGTTGAAGGACTGTATAGCAGCCTTATAGGAACCAAAGAATTAATGAATTATAGGCAGCACCTGCAAGAAATAACTCTGATTTTAAGATGCCCTTTTCTGTTTGGGAAGTAAGGAAAAGCAAGAAAGGATGTTGTCATCCCTTGACGTTCTTAACAGCAGCATCCTACTTGGGGAATTCCTTCCCAGTTTCTTCAGAGCTTCTGCATCTGATCTGCAGAAATCCAAGAAACCGACGGATGACAGCAAAGACAGAAAGCACTCTGCTGCCATCTTGTGACTGTCTGGATTTTTGCAGACCTCATTTGGTAGCCCTGGTTTATTTATGGTTGGTCCTGAGTGTGGTAGTTGACGGGACTTGACCATGGGGTGGAGTGGGGTGCAGGCTGCAGAGGGGGTTGGAATGGACTTGGGGAAAATGTTTGGAATTTGTTGTTTAACCATCTGTCTGCTTCCGACCTTAGATTATCATTTTCATCTGTTCCCCAACCTACAGATGGACCAGGGAGGTCCACATTCTAGTCCTGCCTCAGCCACAGAAGCTCCTGGGCTGGGGTGGGGTGGGGGGAGCCCAATCTACCTCACAGGGTTGTCATTGTGGGGAAAAATAGGAGTGCGCTGGATGCCCTCCTTGAGCTCCTGAATGAAAGGCAGGCTGTGGATCTTATAAAGTGGCAAGAAATGGGGCTGCTGGTTTTCAATATTCGTGGACAGGAGGGCCACCCTGACCTGGGGGAGGTCAAGGCATTGCGCAAGAACCCCACAGAGGGGCTTCAGATAAGCTGGTCCTGCCCTCACCCCCCCACCTGGACTTTCCCTTTCAAAAGCAAGACTTTGGCCCGGAGGTGGCCCTCTTCGAGGGTCGTCCTTCCTCAAGCCCCTCTCCTCCCCCAGCAGTCCTCTTTTAGGGGGACCCTCGCTCCACCTCTGCAAAGGGGGGGATTTGGGGCTGGGGGGAGGGAGAGGCAAGGCCTTTGTCGCCCGCCGCCCGCCCCGGAGGCATCCCCC